GGACCCTGTCCTAGTAATTGCCCAAGCTCTCACGCAAAAAGAGCGAGGGGACCCTGTCTGATATATGCCCAAGCTCTCACGCAAAAGAGCGAGGAGACCCTGTCCGATATATGCCCAAGATCTCACGCAAAAGAGCGAGGGGACCCTGTCCGAGTAATTGCCCAAGCTCTCACGCAAAAGAGCGAGGGGACCCTGTCCGAGTAATTGCCAAAAAATTCTCGCGTAAAACTTCGAGTGGGATCCAGAATGATGGGTGATGGAGACCCGACCGAATCCGCACCCACCCTTTCGTTGCCTAATCGTGATGGGCTAAGATTTCGTCTCTCCAGGAGAGATTAATCTACTTGTTGCGGATTCAAAGGTTCGTCACTACCTCAGTGAACTACTTGCTGTAAGCTTTCCTTGACAAAAAATACTCGCCGTCAGCTTTCCTTGACACTAGGAGCGGAAAGAAAAGGACCGTTTGAGACCCTCCCGACCCCGTGCCCAAGCTCTCACGCAAAAGAGCGAGGGGACCCTGTCCGAGTAATATGCCCAAGTTCTCACGCAAAAGAACGAGGGGACCCTGTCCGAGTAATATGCTCAAGCTCTCACGCAAAAGAGCGAGGGGACCCTGTCCGATATATGCCCAAGCTCTCACGCAAAAAGAGCGAGGGGACCCTGTCCGAGTAATTGCCCAAAAATTCTCGCGTAAAACTGCGAGCGGGATCCAGAATGATGGGACGATGGAGACCCGACCGAATCCGCACCCACCCTTTCGTTGCCTAATCGTGATGGGCCAAGATTTCGTCTCTCCAGGAGAGATTAATCTACTTGTTGCGGATTCAAAGATTCGTCGCTCCCCAGTGAACTACTTGCCGTAAGCTTTCCTTGACAAAAAATACTCGCCGTCAGCTTTTCTTGACACTGTAGGAGCGGAAAGAAAAAGGACTGTCCAAGACCATCCCGACCCCGTGCCCAAGCTCTCGCGCAAAAGAGCGAGGGGACCCTGTCCGAGTAATATGCCCAAGCTCTCACGCAAAAGAGCGAGGGGACCCTGTCCGATATATTGCCCAAGCTCTCACGCAAAAAGAGCGAGGGGACCCTGTCCGAGTAATTGCCAAATTTCTCGCGTAAAACTGCGAGAGGGATCCAGAATGATGGGACGATAGAGACCCGACCGAATCCGCACCCACCCTTTCGTTGCCTAATCGTGATGGGCCAAGATTTCGTCTCTCCAGAGCCATCCTTTCGTTGCCTAGTCGTGATGGTTCTGGAGAAATTAATCTACTTGTTGCGGATTTAGGGAATTTCGTCGCTGCCCAGTGGGGTACCTCCTCCATCCGCCGATCAGCTCACAGGTGGAAGATGAGAGATATGAGAGATTGCACACACCACTACGAAGCGGAAAGGGATCGTCGCTCTCCAGGGACTAATAACCGTAGGCCTCCCCAAAAAAAAAAATCGCCGTAAGCTTTCGTCTGAAGAGCGGAAATGGAAAGACCCGACCGGAAGTGAGAGACCCACCCGACCCTGTCCGAATATATACCCAAGTTACCAGCGAGCGGACTCCGTAAAGGGCCCGAACGCGGGACAGAGAAACTATTTTTGCTCATGACTACTGCGGCTGCAAGCTCAACGGCCGAGTCAGGTACCTTTCGCATTATATCTCGTTGCTGTGGGTGACCGTTACGACGATGTGAGGAG